GTCTGGGTGTCTCTCTCTCAGGGGGTCCACGATGGCCGTGTGGGAGACGCTGAGACCCTGGGTTCAGGGTTCAAGCCCTGGGTCTGGGTGTCTCTCTCTCAGGGGATTCACAGTGGCCGTGTGAGAGACGCTGAGACCCTGGGGTCAGGGTTCAAGTCCTGGGTCTGGGTGTCTCTCTCTCTCTCAGGGGGTTCACGATGGCCGTGTGGGAGACGCTGAGACCCTGGGGTCAGGGTTCAAGCCCTGGGTCTGCGTGTCTATCTCTCTCTCTCAGGGGGTTTACAATGGCCGTGTGAGAGACGCTGAGACCCTAGGGTAGGGGGTTAGGAGGGGGTGGGGGTTAGCCGGTCGAGGCGCCACCTCCGCCGGCCACGCCATCAATCCGAGACCGGCGACACTGCCCCCACTAGGCCTCGGTCAAAGTTCCACAGTTCCATAGTTTCATTTATTTTGGTATAGCCCCTGTGAGCCATTCGGCTCTCGAATCGGGTGCAACCTCGACAAACAAAAAAAAACACGAACAATAAAAAACCATCTTAAAGTGACTTTGTGTGACTGTGCAAACAGAAAATACAGAAAAAAAACATCAAAATATTCCTGAAATAAGCACCGTGTACACCACCAACGCTGTGTACAAAAATCCCAGTGGGATGCACAGTCAAACAACAACCACAACAACAACCACAACAACAACAACAAGACAACTACGATTAAGGCCATCGGTCTAACTCCGTACTACAATAAAACAAAAACCACGGCCAAAACAAACAAAAAAAACGTCTTCGAAATCACCAAAATAATAATAAAAAAAACATAAATGCAATGTAACGGCGACCATAGGAACTTTTGACCGAATTTGTAACAATAAACTACGTACGTAAACAAATCAATCATAACACCAAAATCTCGAGCCGTATTTTAGGCCACTGAATTAGCAAGTGACAAGCTATGGGTGTAACAACTCCTCTAGAGCAGTTTTGAGTGAAGATCTCTCGTAGGCGGCGATGATTCGAGTTGCAGTTTATTGGCGGTAGCATTCCAGACCCTGGGAGGGCATCTATAAGCGAAGGGCCCTTCTCCTCCGGTTTTTTGTACGGCAAATAGGGGAATGTGAAACTGTGCCAGGGTCTATTCGCTGCTGGATGGATGCTCCCTCTCTCACAGGTAACTCCAGGAAAAACATAAAACCACCTTCCCCCATACACACAGCTCCAATTATAAAAATAAAAACCTCTAACGAATAGACTTGTCTCTCTCTCTCTATCCACACACACACATTTATATATATTTTTAAAACACACTCGAGGTTAAATATCACCGGCACAATTTGTTTTAAACAAAGATCGCTTAAACTCCCTAGAAAACGGGGGGGGGGGGGGTGGGGGGGGGGTGGGGGGGGGTGGTGGGGGAGTTAGCCGGCCAAGGCGCCACCTCCGCCGGCCACGCCATCTATCCGAGGCCGGCAACACTCTCCCCACTAGGCCTCGGGGCCGCGCGCGCACACAAACAATCCGCTACTTACGGGCGCCATAATCTCCGAGGCGGTGTGGAAGGGATGATGCTGCTGCCCCCTATCTGGTTGCCTCGGCGGTTGAGGTGTCCGACGTTCCGCGGCGACGCCACAGGGGCTGAGTTCAGGGGGTTTGCCACGTGCGAGACACGAGATGGACGCTGGGTGGTTACGGGGACGTTTGAAAAAGGTAGAGCGGATGGGCGACCACGTGGTGCGCCGGGCGGATGTTGAACTGCGTAGAGCGGATAAGCATGGGCGGGAAAAGTGGTGGGCGTGGTCCACTTGCCCGGTCACTCACTTAGCCACTCCCTCAGCCAGCCACTCACTCACCCAGTTATTCAGCCAGCCAGTCACTCACTCACCCAGTCACTCAGCCAGCCACTCACTCAGCCAGCCACTCACTCACCCAGTCACTCAGCCAGCCACTCACTCACCCAGTCACTCACTCACCCAGTCACTCACTCAGCCAGTTACTAACTCATCCAGTCACTCAACCAGTCACTCACCCACCCACCGGCCCAGTCACTCACTCAGCCAGTCACTCACCCACCCACTCAGTCACTCACCCACTCACTCAGCCAGTCACTCAGCCAGCCAGCCACTCACTCAGCCAGTCACCCACCCACTCACTCAGCCAGTCACCCACCCACTCACTCACCCACCCACCCACCCACTCACCCACCCACCCACCCACTCACCCACCCACTCACCCACCCACCCACCCACTCACCCACCCACCCACTCACCCACCCACCCACTCACCCACCCACTCACCCACCCACCCACTCACCCACCCACCCACCCACTCACCCACTCACCCACCCACCCACTCACCCACTCACCCACCCACTCACTCACCCACTCACTCACCCACCCACCCACCCACTCACTCACTCACCCACCCACCCACCCACTCACCCACCCACCCACTCACCCACCCACTCACCCACCCACTCACCCACCCACCCACTCACCCACCCACCCACTCACCCACCCACTCACCCACCCACTCACTCACTCACTCACCCACCCACTCACTCACCCACGCACCCACTCACTCACTCACCCACCCACTCACCCACCCACTCACCCACCCACCCACTCACTCACCCACCCACCCAGAGACACGCAGTGACAGTGACACAATGTGTAGAGGAAGTTTATCAGCGCGGGAGTCACAGCTCCAGCTCCTCATCCTCCTCTTGTCAACGATGCCGGGGGGGGGGGATATTTAACGTCTCAGATGAATGGTTGGGTGGGTGAGTGAGTGAGTGGATGAGTGAGTGGGTGGGTGAGTGAGTGGGTGGGTGAGTGAGTGAGTGGGTTAGTGAGTGGGTGAGTGAGTGGGTGAGTGAGTGGGTGGGTGAGTGGGTGGGTGGGTGAGTGGGTGGGTGGGTGAGTGGGTGGGTGAGTGAGTGAGTGGGTTAGTGAGTGGGTGAGTGAGTGGGTGAGTGAGTGGGTGGGTGGGTGGGTGAGTGGGTGAGTGAGTGAGTGAGTGAGTGGGTGGGTGAGTGAGTGAGTGAGTGGGTTAGTGAGTGGGTGAGTGAGTGGGTGAGTGAGTGGGTGGGTGAGTGGGTGGGTGGGTGAGTGGGTGAGTGGGTGGGTGGGTGAGTGGGTGAGTGAGTGAGTGGGTGAGTGAGTGAGTGGGTGAGTGAGTGGGTGGGTGAGTGGGTGAGTGGGTGGGTGAGTGGGTGGGTGAGTGAGTGGGTGGGTGAGTAAGTGGGTGGGTGAGTGGGTGGGTGAGTGGGTGGGTGAGTGGGTGGGTGGGTGGGTGAGTGAGTGAGTGAGTGGGTGGGTGAGTGGGTGGGTGGGTGAGTGAGTGGGTGGGTGGGTGAGTGAGTGAGTGGGTGGGCAATTATCAACAGGGTTGAATCCACACCGCAGAATAAACCCGTCAGGTGGTTGTGGTGGTGGTAGTGGAGGTAGTAGTAGTGGTGGTAGTGGTAGTAGTGGTGGTGGTTGATGTGGTAGTGTTGGTGGTAGTAGTGGTGGTAGTAGTGGTGGTAGTAGAGGTGGTAGTAGTAGTAGTGGTGGTAGTTGTGGTGGTAGTGGTGGAGGTAGTGGTGGTGGTAGTAGTAGTGTTGGTGGTAGTAGTGGTGGTTTTTAGTGGTAGTAGTGGTAGTAGTAGTGGAGGTAGTAGTAGTAGTGGAGGTAGTAGTAGTAGTGGAGGTAGTAGTAGTAGTGGAGGTAGTAGTAGTAGTAGAGGTGGTAGTTGTGGTGGGGTTAGTAGTAGTGGTAGTTGTGGTGGTAGTAGTAGTAGTAGAGGTGGTAGTAGTAGTGGTGGTAGTGGTAGTGTTGGTGGTAGTAGTGGTGGTAGTTGATGTGGTAGTAGTAGTAGTGGAGGTAGTAGTGGTAGTAGTAGTGTTGGTGGTAGTAGTTGTGGTGGTAGTAGTAGTAGTGGTGGTAGTAGTAGTGTTGGTGGTAGTAGTTGTGGTGGTAGTAGTAGTTGTGGTAGTAGTAGTTGTGGTGGTAGTAGTAGTGGTGGTAGTAGTAGTAGAGGTGGTAGTTGTGGTGGTAGTTGTGGTGGTAGTAGTAGTAGTGGTAGTGGTGGTAGTAGTAGTGGTGGTAGTAGTGGTGGTAGTAGAGGTGGTAGTAGTAGTGGTAGTAGTGGTAGTTGTGGTAGTAGTAGTAGTTGTGGTGGTAGTAGTAGTGGTAGTAGTTGTGGATGTAGTAGTAGTAGTGGTAGTAGTTGTAGTGGTAGTAGTTGTGGTTGTAGTAGTTGTGGTGGTAGTAGTAGTGGTGGTAGTTGTGGTAGTAGTAGTGGTAGTTGTGGTGGTAGTAGTGGTAGTAGTAGTGGTGGTAGTTGTGGTGGTGGTAGTTGTTATGGTAGTAGTAGTGGTAGTAGTTGTGGTGGCAGTAGTAGTAGTTGTTGTGGTGGTAGTAGTGGTAGTTGTGGTTGTAGTAGTAGTTGTTGTGGTAGTAGTTGTGGTGGTAGTAGTAGTAGTGGTAGTAGTTGTGGTGATAGTAGTTGTGGTGATAGTAGTTGTGGTGATAGTAGTTGTGGTAGTAGTAGTTGTGGTAGTAGTAGTTGTGGTAGTAGTAGTTGTGGTGATAGTAGTTGTGGTGGTAGTAGTTGTGATAGTAGTTGTGGTGGTAGTAGTAGTGGTAGTAGTTATGGTGATAGTAGTTGTGGTGGTAGTAGTAGTAGTTGTGGTAGTAGTAGTGGTAGTAGTTGTGGTGATAGTAGTTGTGGTAGTAGTAGTGGTAGTTGTGGTAGTAGTAATGGTAGTAGTTGTGGTGGTAGTAGTTGTGGTAGTAGTTGTAGTAGTGGTAGTAGTAGTTATGGTAGTTGTTGTGGTGGTAGTAGTTGTAGTGGTAGTAGTTGTGGTGATAGTAGTTGTTGTGGTGGTAGTAGTTGTGGTGATAGTAGTAGTGGTAGTAGTAGTGGTAGTAGTTGTGGTGATAGTAGTAGTTGTGATAGTAGTTGTGGTAGTAGTTGTTGTGGTAGTAGTAGTTGTGGTGATAGTAGTTGTTGTGGTGATAGTAGTTGTTGTGGTAGTAGTTGTAGTAGTGATAGTAGTTGTGATAGTAGTTGCTGTGGTAGTTGTAGTAGTAGTGATAGTAGTTGTGGTAGTAGTTGTTGTGCTGGTCGCTTAAGAGGACTTCCGCAGTCCCGACTCCTCAATCCTCCCCGTGCCAGGCGCGGTGCGCGCTGGGCCGGCAAGCGTCCACGGTGCCGGCCGGCTCGGTGCCAGGCACGGTGCACGCACAGCCACAGGGACGGTGGCGGTGGCTATCCCCCGTACCAGTCGAGGAACAGGAGCGAGAAGGAGCACATGGTGAGGAAGAAGAGAATCCAGACACGGAAACCAGCGTTGTTCTTCATCGCCTGGGGGGGTAGGTGAGGGGGTAGGTGAGGGGGTAGGTGAGGGGGTAGGTGAGGGGGTAGGTGAGGGGGTAGGTGAGGGGTAGGTGAGGGGGTAGGTGAGGGGTGAGGTGAGGGGTGAGGAAGAAGAGAATCCAGACACGGAAACCAGCGTTGTTCTTCATCGCCTGGGGGGGTAGGTGAGTGGGTAGGTGAGTGGTAGGTGAGTGGGTAGGTGAGTGGTAGGTGAGGGGTAGGTGAGGGGGTTGGTGAGGGGTAGGTGAGGGGTAAGTGAGGGGGTAGGTGAGGGGTAGGTTAGGGGGTAGGTGAGGGGGTAGGTGAGGGGTAGGTGAGGGGTGAGGAGAGGGGTAGGTGAGGGGTAGGCGAGGGGTAGGCGAGGGGTAGGCGAGGGGGTAGGTGAGGGGTAGGCGAGGGGGTAGGTGAGGGGGTAGGCGAGGGGTAGGTGATGGGTAGGTGAGGGGTAGGTGAGGGGGTAGGTGAGTGGGTAGGCGAGGGGTAGGTGAGTGGGTAGGAGAGGGGTAGGTGAGGGGTAGGTGAGGGGTAGGTGAGGGGTAGGTGAGGGGTAGGAGAGGGGTAGGTGAGGGGTAGGTGAGGGGGTAGGTGAGGGGTAGGTGAGGGGGTAGGTGAGGGGTAGGTGAGGGGTAGGAGAGTGGTAGGTGAGGGGTAGGAGAGTGGTAGGTGAGGGGTAGTTGAGTGGGTAGGTTAGGGGGTAGGTGAGGGGTAGGTGAGGGGTAGGTGAGTGGGTAGCTGAGTGGGTAGGTGAGGGGTAGGTGAGTGGGTAGCTGAGGGGTACTCACCTCACGTATCTCCTCATTGCCCTCCTTGATGTTTTCCGTTGTTCCCACGACCGTGGAGTGGACCAGGTCAATGTCTCTCTCCTGGAGAGAAACGCTCACCACGTCACTCACCACTCACTCACCACGTCACTCACCACTCACTCACCACGTTACTCACCACTCACTCACCACTCACTCACCACTCACTCACCACTCACTCACCACTCACTCACCACGTTACTCACCACTCACTCACCACGTTACTCACCACTCACTCACCACTCACTCACCACTCACTCACCACGTTACTCACCACGTCACTCACCACGTTACTCACCACTCACCACTCACTCACCACTCACTCACCACGTTACTCACCACTCACTCACCACGTTACTCACCACTCACTCACCACTCACTCACCACTCACTCACCACGTTACTCACCACGTCACTCACCACGTTACTCACCACTCACCACTCACTCACCACTCACTCACCACGTTACTCACCACTCACTCACCACGTTACTCACCACTCACTCACCACTCACTCACCACTCACTCACCACGTCACTCACCACTCACTCACCACGTTACTCACCACTCACCACGTCACACACCACGTTACTCACCACTCACTCACCACGTTACTCACCACTCACTCACCACGTTACTCACCACTCACCACGTCACTCACCACTCACTCACCACGTCACTCACCACTCACTCACCACGTTACTCACCACTCACTCACCACTCACCACTCACTCACCACGTTACTCACCACTCACTCACCACGTTACTCACCACGTTACTCACCACTCACTCACTCACCACTCACTCACCGCTCACTCACCACGTTACTCACCACGTTACTCACCACGTTACTCACTCACCACTCACCACGTTACTCACCACTCACTCACCACTCACTCACCACGTCACTCACCACTCACTCACCACGTTACTCACCACGTTACTCACTCACCACTCACCGCTCACTCACTCACCACGTTACTCACCACTCACTCACCACTCACTCACCACTCACTCACCACGTTACTCACCACTCACTCACCATGTTACTCACCACTCACCACTCACTCACCACTCACTCACCACTCACTCACCACGTTACTCACTCACCACTCACTCACTCACCACGTTACTCACCACGTTACTCACCACTCACTCACCACTCACTCACCACGTTACTCACCACTCACTCACCGCTCACTCACTCACCACGTTACTCACCACTCACTCACCACGTTACTCACCACTCACTCAGCACGTTACTCACCACTCACTCACCACTCACTCACTCACCACGTCACTCACCACGTTACTCACCACTCACTCACCACGTTACTCACCACTCACTCACCACGTTACTCACCACGTCACTCACCACTCACTCACCGCTTACTCCCCACGTTACTCACCACGTTACTCACCACTCACTCACCACGTTACTCATCACTCACCACGTTACTCACCACTCACCACTCACTCACCACTCACCACTCACTCACCACGTTACTCACTCACCACTCACTCACTCACTCACTCACCACGTTACTCACCACGTTACTCACCACTCACTCACCACGTTACTCACCACGTTACTCACCACTCACCGCTCACTCACCACTCACTCACCACTCACTCACCACGTCACTCACCACGTTACTCACCACGTCACTCACCACTCACTCACCACGTCACTCACCACGTTACTCACCACGTCACTCACCACTCACTCACCACTCACTCACCACGTCACTCACCACTCACTCACCACGTCACTCACCACGTTACTCACCACGTCACTCACCACTCACTCACCACGTCACTCACCACTCACTCACCACGTTACTCCCCACGTTACTCACCACTCACTCACCACGTTACTCACCACTCACTCACCACTCACTCACCCACTCACCACGTCACTCACCACGTTACTCACCATTCACTCACCACGTTACTCACCATTCACTCACCACGTTACTCACTCACCACGTCACACACCACGTTACTCACCACTCACTCACCACGTTACTCACCACGTTACTCACCACGTTACTCACCGCTCACTCACCACGTTACTCACCACTCACTCACCACGTTACTCACCACTCACTCACCACTCACTCACTCACCCACTCACCACGTTACTCACCACTTACTCACCACGTTACTCACCACGTTACTCACCGCTCACTCACCACGTTACTCACCACTTACTCACCACGTTACTCACCACTCACTCACTCACCACGTTACTCACGACTCACTCACCACTCACTCACAACTCACTCACCACTCACTCACCACTCACTCACCACTCACTCAGCACGTTACTCACCACCCACTCACCACTCACTCACTCACCGCTCACTCACCACGTTACTCACCACTCACTCACCACTCACTCACCACGTCACTCACCACTCACTCACCACGTTACTCACCACTCACTCACCACGTTACTCACCACTCACCACTCACTCACCACTCACCACTCACTCACCACGTTACTCACTCACCATGTTACTCACCACGTTACTCACCGCTCACTCACTCACCACGTTACTCACCACTCACTCACCACGTTACTCACCACGTTACTCACCACTCACTCACTCACCACGTTACTCACCACTCACTCACCACTCACTCACCACTCACCACGTTACTCACCACTCACTCACCACTCACTCACCGCTCACTCACCACGTTACTCACCACTCACTCACTCACCACGTTACTCACCACTCACTCACCGCTCACTCACCACGTTACTCACCACGTTACTCACCACTCACTCACCACGTTACTCACCACTCACTCACCACTCACTCACCACGTTACTCACCCACTCACCACGTTACTCACCCACTCACCACTCACCACTCACTCACTCACTCACCACGTTACTCACCACGTTACTCACCACTCACTCACCACGTTACTCACCACTCACTCACCACTCACTCACTCACCACGTCACTCACTCATGCACTCACTCACCACGTCGCTCACCAGAGCACTCACCCACTCACCACGTCATTCACTCACTCACCACGTCACTCACTCACTCACCAACTCACTCACTCACCATGTCACTCACTCACTCGCTCACCAACTCGCTCACTCACCATGTCACTAACTCACTCGCTCACCACGTCACTCACTCACGTCACTCACCCACCCACTCACTCACCCACTCACCACGTCACTCACTCACCAACTCACTCACTCACCATGTCACTCACCCACTCACCAACTCACTCACCCACTCACCAACTCACCCACTCACTCACCACGCCACTCACTCACCACGTCACTCACCCACTCACCACGTCACTCACTCACCAACTCACTCACCACGTCACCCACTCACCACGTCACTCACCCACTCACCACGTCACCCACTCACTCACTCACCAACTCACTCACTCACCATGTCACTCACTCACTCACCAACTCACTCACCACATCGCTCACAAACTCGCAGACCAACTCACTCACTCACTCACCACGTCACTCACTCACCAACTCACTCACTACGTCGCTCACAAACTCGCTCACCAACTCACTCACTCACCACGTCACTCACTCAACCACTCACCACGTCACTCACCCACTCACCACGTCACTCACTCACTCACCAACTCACTCACCACGCCACTCACCCACTCACCACGTTACTCACTCACCAACTCACTCACTCACCACGTCACTCAATCCCTCACTCACCCACTCACCACGTCACTCACCAACTCACTCACCCACCCACCACGTCACTCACTCACTCACCACGTCACTCACCCACTCACCACGTCACCCACTCACCACGTCACTCACCCACTCACCACGTCACTCACCACGTCACCCACTCACCACGTCACTCACTCACTCCCCACGTCGCTCACCAGCTCACTCACTCACCACGTCACTCACTCACCGCGTCGCTCACCAGCTCACTCACCCACTCACCACGTCACTCACTCACTCATTCACCTGCTGTAGAACTTTGTCCGTGAATATCTCCTGGAGTCTGGAAATCTCCACCACCTTACCCTCGATTTGCCTGTAAGATATTCAACATCATCACCATCATCAACATCATCAACATCATCACCAGCATCATCACTATCATCAACACCATCATCAACACCATCATCAACATCATCCTCATCATCAACATCAACATCATCATCACCACCATCATCATCATCACCATCAACATCAACTATCATCATCACCATCATCATCAACATCATAATCAACATCATCATCATCACCATCAACATCATCATCAACATCATCACCATCATCATCAACATCACCATCATCATCACCATCATCATCAACATCATCATTACCATCACCATCACCATCATCAACATCATCACCATCATCATCAACATCACCATCATCATCACCATCATCATCAACATCATCATCAACATCATCACCATCATCAACATCATCATCATCACCATCATCACCAACATCACCATCAACATCATCACCATCATCATCAACATCATCATCCCCATCATCAACATCACCATCATCATCACCATCATCATCACCACCATCAATACCATCATCATCACCATCATCACCATCAACACCATCAACATCATCACCATCATCAACATCATCATCACTATCATCAACACCATCATCACCATCAACATCACCATCATCATCATCATCACCATCATCAACACCATCATCATCACCATCAACACCATCAACACCATCAACATCACCATCAACATCATCATCATCAACATCATTATCATCAACATCACCATCATCACCATCAACACCATCATCACCATCATCACCATCAACACAATCATCATCAACATCACCATCATCACCATCAACACAATCATCAACATCACCATCATCAACATCAACACTACCATCAACACCATCATCATCATCAACACCATCAACATTACCTTCAACACCATTATCACCAGCATCATAAACATCATTAACATCATCATTAACATCATCATCAACACCATCATCATCAACATCATCACCGCTATCACCATCAACATCATCACCACCATCATCACCATCACCGTGGGTGGTTGAGTTAGTGGGTAGGTGGGTGGGTAGGTGAGTGGGTAGGCGAGTGGGTAGGCGAGTGGGTAAGCGGGTGGGTAGGCGAGTGGGAAGATGAGTTTGTAGGTGAGTGGGTAGGCGGGTGGGTAGGCGAGTGGGTAGGTGAGTGGGTAGGCGAGTGGCTCGGTGGGTGGGAAGATTAGTGAGTAGGTGGGTGGGTAGGTAAGTGAGTAGGCCGGGGGGTAGGCGAGTGGGTAGGTGAGTGGGTAGTTGAGTTGGTAGGTGAGTAGGTGAATGGGTAGGTGAGTTGGTAGGTGGATAGGTGAGTCGGTAGGCGAGTGGGTAGGTGAGTGGGTAGGTGGGTGGCTAGGTGAGTTGGTGAATGGGTAGGTGAGTCGGTAGGTAAGTCCGTAGGTGAGTGGGTAGGTGAGTGGGTAGGTGAGTTGGTAGGTGAGTTGGTAGGTGGGTAGGTGAATGGGTAGGTGAGTGGGTAGGTGGGTAGGTGGGTGGGTGAGTCGGTAGGTGAGTGGGTAGGTGAGTGGGTAGGTGGGTGCATAGGCGGGTGGGTAGGTGGGTGGGTGGGTGAGTGGGTAGGTGAGTTGGTAGGTGAGTGGGTAGGCAGGTAGGATGAATGGGTAGGTGAGTGGGTAGGTGGGTAGGTGGGTGGGTAGGTGGGTGGGTAGGCGAGTGGGTAGGTGGGTGGGTGGGTGAGTGGGTAGGCGAGTGGGTAGGTGAGTGGGTAGGTGAGTGGGTAGGTAGGTGGGTAGGTAGGTGAGTGGGTAGGTAGGTGAGTGGGTAGGTGGGTGGGTGGGTGGGTAGGTGAGTGGGTAGGTGGGTAAGTGAGTTGGTAGCTCACCGTACTTCACCCATGAGGCTGCTCATCTCCTCCAGAAGACGGTCGTTCTCCCTGTGGAACTACGCACACACACACACAGACACACACACAGACACACACACACACAGACACACACACACACACAGAGACACACACACAGAGACACACACACACAGAGACACACACACAGACACAGAGACACACACACAGACACAGAGACACACACACACAGAGACACACACACAGACACACACACACACAGACACACACACACACAGAGACACACACACAGACACACACACACACACAGAGACACACACACACACAGACACACACACACACAGACACACACACACAGAGACACACACACACACAGACACACACACACACAGAGACACACACACAGACACACACACACAGAGACACACACACAGTGATGTCACTGATGCTGCTGATGATGGTGGTGATGGCGGTGGTGATGATGGTGGTGATAGCGGTGGTTATGATGGTGGTGGCGGTGATGATGGTTGTGATGATGGCGGTGATGGCGGTGATGGCGGTGAAGGTGGTAATGGGGGTAATGGTGGCGGTGATGGTGGTGATGGTAGTGGTGATAGCAGTGATGGTGGTGATGATGGTGATGATGATGGTGGTGATGGTGATGATGATGGTGGCGGTGATGGTGGCACTGATGAAGGCGATGATGGTGGCGGTGGTGGTGGTGGTGGCGATGATGGTGGCGGTGATGGTGCCGGTGATGGTGCCGGTGATGGTGATGATGGTGATGATGGTGGTAATGATGGTGGTGATGGTGGTGGTAGTGGCGATAGCAGTGATGGTGGTGATAGTAGTGATGGTGGTGGTGATGGTGATGATGATGGTGGCGGTGATGAAGGCGATGATGGTGGCGGTGGTGATGATGATGATGGTGATGATGGTGATGATGATGGTGATGATGATGGTGGTGATGGTGATGATGATGGTGATGATGATGGTGGTAGTGATGATGATGATGGTGGTGGTGATGGTGACTGTGGTGGTGATGGTGATGATGATGGTGATGATGATGGTGGTGATGGTGATGATGATGGTGATGATGATGGTGGTAGTGATGATGATGATGGTGGTGGTGATGGTGACTGTGGTGGTGATGGTGATGATGGTGGCGGTGATGGTGGCGGTGATGGTGGTGGTGGTGATGATGGTGATGATGATGGTGATGATGGTGATGATTGTGATGATGATGGTGATGATGGTGATGATGATGATGGTGATGATGATGATGATGGTGATGACGTCACCATCTGGATCTCCTCCGCCGTGAGATCTCCGTCATCGTAGGCTGACAGCTCACCACTCTCCACGGGGAACACTCCTGGGGGGTGGGGGGGGGGGTGGGGGAGTGGGGGGGTGGTGGGGGGGTGGTGGGGGAGTGGTGGGGGGGTGGTGGGGGGGGAGTGGTGGGGGGGAGTGGTGGGGGAGTGGTGGGGGGAGTGATGGGGAGGAGTGATGGGGGGGTAGTGATGGGGGGGAGTGGTGGGGGAGTGATGGGGGGTGAGTGATGGGGTACAACCACTTTTGCGTCAAAAAATATCCTTCAGCATCATCATCACATCCACCACCACCACCTACACCACCTCCACCACCACCTACACCACCACCTACACCACCACCTACACCACCACCTCCACCACCACCTACACCACCACCTCCACCACCTACACCACCTACACCACCTACACCACCTACACCGCCACCTACACCACCACCTACACCACCTACACCGCCACCTACACCACCACCTCCACCACCTCCACCACCTCCACCACCACCTCCACCACCACCTCCACCACCACCTCCACCACCACCTCCACCACCACCTCCACCTCCACCACCACCTCCACCACCTACACCACCACCTCCACCACCTCCACCGCCACCTACACCACCACCTCCACCTATACCACCTCCACCACCTACACCACCACCTCCACCACCACCTCCACCACCTACACCACCTACAACACCTCCACCACCTCCACCACCACCAAAATCACCACCACCACCACCTCCACGACCTCCACCACCTACACCATCTACACCACCTACACCACCACCTCCACCACCTCCACCACCTCCACCACCACCTCCACAACCACCACCACCACCACCACCTGCACCACCTACAACACCTCCACCACCTCCACCACCTCCACCTACACCATCTACACCACCACCTCCACCACCTCCACGACCTCCACCACCTCCACCACCTACACCATCTACACCACCTACACCACCACCTACACCACCTGCACCACCTACAACACCTCCACCACCTCCACCACCACCACCACAATCACCACCACCACCACCTCCACCACCTCCACCACCTCCACCTACACCACCTCCACCAGCTCCACCACCTCCACCACCACCTCCACCATCTCCACCACCTCCACCACCACCACCTCCACCACCTCCACCACCACCACCACCTCCACCACCTCCACCACCACGACGCTTGCACTCACCCTGAACCCGCCCAGCGGTGGACATGGAGGAGGTCGCGGTGGACGAGGTGGTGGCGGACGAGGTGGAGGAGGTGGACGTGTCCTCTGCGTGGGTCACCCCTCCTGAGGTGTCCACCGCCTCTCCGTTGGGGCGAGTCGGTAGTGGAGGTGGCGATGGACTCCTCAAACTCCCCCTCCTCCTCCTCCTCGCTGTCGTCCGCTCCGCACAATCCGGCTCCAGCCTCTCCCTGCAGAGACAGCACGGTTACAAAACGGCACCGGGGAGGCAAACCCCTGCCTTCTAGACGGTTTCAAATTAAGCAATCGTTGGAAAGATGTTCTGAATCACGCCAAAGATTAAACAAATTTTTTTTCAATGGCACAGCATATTTATTCGAGCAGCGATATACCAAACTCTCACATCAGCTTATTTCCGTTTAACACGTAGGCTTTCGCGACCAATATTATTCATAATAAAGGTTTTTGGGTTAGATCGCACCAACGTTTGTAAACTTCCCTCCCCTCCCTCCCCCACCCGGGCAGGTACGCTCTGAGCTTTTCATGCCAATTCCTTTGTCAAAGCGTTTTGTTTCCTCTTGGCTGCCTTCACTCCAACGCTGTCCTTTGGACAGCACGGTCCCCCTGCACCTGATGAAGGCCACTTGCGTTGTGGCCGAAACGTCGGGATTTTTTTTATCGTTTTTTTAATATTTTTTTACCACCTACGTGACTCTACCGAACAGAGCCAAAGAGTATGAACCTCCAACCTCCCCGTGGTGCCGGAGGGCCAACGCTGTGGTGGTGGGCAGTGCCGTGGGGGAGAGAGAGAGGGCCAATTAAGATTGGCCCTCTCCCTCACCCTCACGGCGTTCTGTGACCACCACAGCGGCCAGATGGGGGCTCTGGACGGGTGCGAGGGGCTGGTGACCCCTCCACCTTCAATAAATTACCACTAAACCACGTCTAAGATATCTAACTAATAAGAATTGTGCCGGAGGCCCCGGGGGGGACAGGCGTCTATGACGTCTCCTGGCCAGACCCCATTTGGCGGAGCCAGGAGATTGAATCTCCACCCTCGGGGCTCCTCCAGAAACAACGAAAAGCCACTTCGTGTGGCCACGTGGAATATTCGAACGCTCACTGCGGAGGAGAGGCTGCCACTCCTCTGTCGGGAGCTGGATCGGTACCGCCTGGATCTCTGTGGCATTCAGGAGGTCCGGTGGACCGGCTCTGGCTCCTGCCACCATGAGGGGTGGACAGTCCTCTACTCGGGGCAGCAGACTGCCAAACAACAGGGTGTGGCTCTTCTTCTGAACAAAAGAATGAAGGGGGCGTGGGAGCATGGCAGTGTGGTGTGGGAAGCTGTAAGCCCCAGGCTAATTTGGGCTCGCCTTCCCATCAACCGGAGGCGAGGAATGGTGGTCGTGGTTACTTATGCCCCCACCGAAGACGAACATCCGTGGAGGGATGCAGGCAAGGCCGATGAGTCAGATGCCTTCTATGACCTCCTGTCACAGGTGCTGACTAAAGTGGCCCCTCGGGATAGAGTCATCTTGTTGGGTGACTTCAATGCCCGAGTTGGTCATGATGCTGGCACCTGGTCTGGAGTGATTGGAGGGCATGGGCCAGATCAGCTCAATAACAATGGTAGGAGGCTGCTAGATTTTTGTGCAGCCCATGGGCTTGTAATTACCAACACGCTGTTCCGGCATCGGTGCATCCACACAACATCGTGGGTGCATGCCGGGTCCAAGCAAGAACATCTGCTGGACTACATAGTGATGGACCAGCGGATGCGAGCCCATGTCCTTGATACCAGGACCTACCGTGGAGCTGATCTGCCCTCTGACCATCGACTAGTCATCTGTAAGATGCGCCTGCCATTCTTCCACTCCGGTGGTGGGTGTACACCCAGGACCCCATTCAAACCATTTGTGGCATGGTCTCAGTTAGCTGATGAAAGTTGCAAGTGAGAATTCCATCATCGCTTGTGGCTGGGGTTGGCATCGTCCCCCACTCCTCCTGATGTCGAGGGGAAATGGGCGAGGTTTAGGACTGTGGCTCATGCAGCTGCAATGGCTGCTTTGGGTACATGGTCCAGACCTCCCCAGAGACCCTGACTGACAGAGGAGGTGTTCAAGCTGGCTGAGAAAAAGCGACAGGCCCACTCTCATCGGCTACAGCATCCCACGTCAGAGAATGAGGAGGCTTACCGCAGCCTTCGCTCGGAGGTTCGGAGAGCCGTGAGGCGCTACAAGGATGGGTGGTGGTCGCGGGTTGCTTAGGAGATGGAGTCTGCCTCTATGGCCCGCAATCACAAATCTCTATTTAACTCCATCAAAAAAGTAACCTGCAACGCCACACCTATTACCATCATTAGGGGAAAAACTGTGATCCAATCTCTGACCCCCAGCAACAGGTTTGCAGATTAGCTGAGCATTTCTGTGAGGTCCTGGAGGAGGGGAAATCCCTCAGCCTGGAAAACATCGTGGCACAAAGTGGGGATGACCCTGCTGAGGCTGCGGTGCCTCAAATATTGGAGGAGGAAGTCACCCCCTGTGAGTGGCTGGCTGAGGTGCCATCTGTTGAGGAATTACTGAAGGCGATCCGGAGTCTGAGACCAGGAAAGGCAGAGATGATCCCCCAAGCGAAATGCTGAGGGAGGGTGGCGTTTGTGCACAGACTGCCCTATATGACATCATAACAACAGTCTGGACCACTGGACGGGTTCCGCAGGATTGGAAGGATGCCCTGGTGGTCCCCCTCTTTAAGAAGGGGGACCGCACAGACTGTAACAACTACAGGGGCATCTCACTCCTCAGCGTGCCGGGAAAGGTCCTGGCAAGGATTATTCAACATCGCATTGCCAGGCACGCTGAGGAGAGGCTTGCAGAGCCCCAATGCGGTTTCAGGAAAGGGCGGTCCTGCACAGATGCCAAATTTTCTGTCCGTCTGCTACAGCAGAGGTGTAGGGAATTCCAACAAGACCTACATCTCTGCTTTATTGACCTAGTCAAGGCCTATGATACCATCAGTAGGCCTGGGCTCTTCGTAGGCCTGGGTTCTTCGTGCTTTTGGAGTCCCTGACCCTCTGCTCATGATCATTAAGGACCGTCATGATGGTGAGCGGGCCCGGGTAAAACTACGTGGCCGGGAGTCAGAGCCATTCCTTGTACACCTTGGGGTGCGACAGGGATGTCCTCTGGCTCCCACATTATTTAACATCTATTTTGACCACGTAGTTCGTGAAGCCTTCAATAGCTGTACCGGGGGAATCTCCATCTGGTACAGATACAATGGGAGGCTGATCGATGCCCGGGTGCGGTCAAGGGATGGCTCCCTATTGCTCAACCACGTTATGTATGTCGATGATTTGGTAACAGCTGCTCATTCAGAGGAGGAGTTGGAGACGCTGCTGCTGAGACTGGAGCGTGCCACTAAGAGGTGGGGCCTTACCATCAGCCCCACCAAAACTAAGCACCTGCCTGGGTATTTTGTACCATCGGACACTCCACCCCCACAACTCCCAATCGGTGATGGGGCAGTTGTGGAGCGAGTTGGAGAGTTTCCCATACCTGGGCAGTGTGCTTATGACCGGCTCCGGTTTAACAGCAGAGGTCTCACTCCGAATCAGTCGAGCGGCATTATCCTTTCATCGGTTGCGTAACGCCGCTGTGTGGAAGCTGCCCGGTCTGTCGCTCCGCACGAAGCTTCTAGCCGTGTCTGAGTGAGTGAGTTCGCTACCTGGGGTAGCTGTGTCTCTAGCTGCGTGCCACTCACAGGCGTTTACGATCCACCACTCGCTTCACTCGGATGGCTCGCTGCTCCGAGTAGATCCTGCACACAGCTGCAGCGGCAGCGGGAGCAGCAGCGGCATCATTGTCATCAAGTGGTGGTGGTGGTAGTGGTGATGGTAGTGGTGATGGTAGTGGTGGTGGTGATGGTGGTAGTGGTGGTAGTGGTGGTGATAATGATGGTGGTCATGATGCTCTTGCTGCTGATGTTGCTGATGATGATGATGTTGATGAGGCTGATGATGCTGCTGCTGATGATGCTGCTGATGATGCTGATGATGATGTTGATGAGGCTGATGATGCTGCTGCTGATGATGCTGATGATGATGTTGATGAGGCTGATGAAGATGATGATGAGGCTGATGAAGATGATGTTGCTGATGATGATGTTGCTGATGATGATGTTGCTGATGCTGATGATGTTGCTGATGATGATGTTGCTGATGCTGTTGCTGATGATGATGTTGCTGATGCTGATGATGTTTCTGATGATGATGCTGATGATGACACTGATGAAGATGATATTGATGATGATGCTGATGATGCTGCTGATGCTGATGATGCCGTCACCTCTGAGGTAGGACTCGAGGAGTCCCAGCACCGCCTGCCGGTGCAGCCGAGCCTGGACCAGGCTCACCTGGCTCTCAGCTAGACACGCACAGCACACGTACAGTACGTACAGTACGTGCAGTACGCACAGTGCATACAGCACACACAGTACATACACACAGCACCCATACAGTACACACAGTACACACAGTGCATACAGCACACACAGTACATACACACAGCACCCATACAGTACGTACAGTGCACACAGCGCCCATACAGTACATACAGTGCACACAGCGCCCATACAGTACGTACAGTGCACACAGCGCGCGTACAGTGCGCACGGTGCGCACAGTACATGCGGTGCGCACAGTACACATACAGTACACATACAGTACACGCAGTTCATACAGTGCACACCGTGCATACAGTACACACAGCACACCGTGCACACGTAGTGCGTACAGTATGTACAGTGTATACAGTATAAACTGTGCACCCCCCCGTGTATACAGCGCGTACGGTACATGCAGTGCGCGCACAGTATACACAGTTCGTACAGTGCATACACCGTACATATACAGTACACACAGTGCATACAGTACACACAGTACATACAGTACACACAGCACATACAGTACACACAGCACATACAGTACACACAGTATACACAGTACATACACTACAAACACACACTACACACACAGTGCACACACAGTACACACAGTACACACACACAGTACACACAGTACACACACACACAGTACACACAGTACACACACACACAGTACACACAGTACACACACACACACACAGTACACACAGTACACACACACACAGTACACACACACACAGTACACACACACAGTACACGCACACAGTACACACACACACTACACACACACAGTACACACACACACGCACACAGTACACACACACACACAGTACACACACACACACAGTACACACACACACACAGTACACACACACACACACAGTACACACACACACACACACGCGCACAGTACACACGCGCACAGTACACACACACGGACACAGTACACACACACGCACACAGTACACACACACGCACACAGTACACACACACGCACACAGTACACACACACACACAGTACACACACACAGTACACACACACACACACACAGTACACACACACACAGTACACACACACAGTACACACACACACAGTACACACACACAGTACACACACACACAGTACACACACACACAGTACACACACACACACACAGTACACACACACACACACAGCACACACACACACACAGCACACACACACACAGTACACACACACACAGTACACACACACACACACACAGTACACACACACAGTACACACACACACAGTACACACACACACAGTACACACACACACACACAGTACACACACACAGTACACACACACACAGTACACACACACAGTACACACACACACAGTACACACACACACACAGTACACACACAGTACACACAGTACACACACACAGTACACACACACAGTACACACAGACACACAGACACACACAGTACACACACACAGTACACACACAGTACACACACAGACAGTACACACACACACAGTACACACACACACAGTACACAAATACACACACACAGTCTACACACAGTACACACACAGTACACACACTACACTCTCTCTCCCCGTGTCTCTCTCTCCCCGTGTCTCTCTCCCCGTGTCTCTCTCTCCCAGTGTCTCTCTCTCCCAGTGTCTCTCTCCCCGTGTCTCCATGTCTCTCTCACCGTGTCTCTGTCTCTCTCACCGTGTCTCTGTGTCTATGTCTGTCTCTCTCTCCCCGTGTCTCTGTGTCTCTCTCACCGTGTCTGTGTCTCTGTGTCCGTGTCTGTGTCTCCGTGTCTCTCTCACCATATTTCTGTGTCTGTGTCTCTCTCCCCGTGTCTCTGTGTCTGTGTCTCTCTCCCCGTGTCTCTGTGTCTCTCTCCCCGTGTCTCTGTGTCTCTCTCACCATGTTTCTGTGTCTGTGTCTCTCTCTCCGTGTCTCTATGTCTCTGTGTCTCTCTCACCGTGTCTCTGTGTGTCTGTGTCTCTCTCCCCGTGTCTCTGTGTCTGTGTCTCTCTCACCGTGTCTGTGTCTCTGTCTCTCTCACCGTGTCTGTGTGTCTGTGTCTCTCTCACCGTGTCTCTGTGTCTCTGTCTCTCTCACCGTGTCTCTGTGTCTCTCTCCCCGTGTCTCTGTGTGTCTGTGTCTGTGTGTCTGTGTCTCTCTCACCGTGGACTTTGAGAGCGTGGATGGACTCGGCACAAGTCCGCATGTACGTCTGTGTGTCTGTGTCTCACCGTGTCTCTGTGTCTCTCTCACCATGTCTCTGTGTCTGTGTCTCTGTGTGTCTGTGTCTCTCTCACCGTGTCTCTGTGTCTCTGTGTCTCTCTCCCCGTGTCTCTGTGTCTCTCTCCCCGTGTCTCTGTCTCTCTCACCGTGTCTCTGTGTCTCTCCCCGTGTCTCTGTGTCTCTCTCCCCGTGTCTCTGTGTCTCTGTGTCTCTCTCCCCGTGTCTCTGTGTCTCTCCCCGTGTCTCTGTGTCTCTCTCCCCGTGTCTCTCTCACAATGTCTATGCGTCTCTGTGTCTCAGTCTCTGTGTCTCTCTCCCCGTGTCTCTGTCTGTGTCTCTCTCCCCGTGTCTCTGTGTCTCTCTCACAATGTCTCTGTGTCTGTGTCTCTCTCCCCGTATCTCTAAGTCTCTGTGTCTCTCTCACCATGTCTGTGTCTCTCTCCCCGTGTCTCTGTGTCCGTGTCTCTCTGTCTCTCTCCCCGTGTCTCTGTGTCCGTGTCTCTGTGTCTCTATCCCCGTGTCTCTATGTGTCTGTGTCTCTCTCCCCGTGTCTCTGTGTCTCTGTGTCTCTCTCACCGTGTCTCTGTGTCTCTATCCCCGTGTCTCTATGTGTCTGTGTCTCTCTCCCTGTGTCTCTGTGTGTCTGTGTCTCTCTTCCCGTGTCTCTGTGTCTCTCTCCCCGTGTCTCTGTGTGTCTGTGTCTCTCTCCCCGTGTCTCTGTGTGTCTGTGTCTCTCTCCCCGTGTCTCTGTGTCTCTCTCCCCGTGTCTCAGTGTCTCTGTGTCTCTCTCCCCGTGTCTCTGTGTCTGTGTCTCTCTCCCCGTGTCTCTGTGTCTGTGTCTCTCTCACCGTGTCTCTGTGTCTCTGTGTCTGTGTGTCTGTGTCTCTCTCCCCGTGTCTCTGTGTCTCTCTCACCGTGTCTCTGTGTGTCTGTGTCTCTGTGTCTGTCTGTGTCTCTCTCCCCGTGTCTCTATGTCTCTGTGTCTCTCTCACCGTGGACTTTGAGAGCGTGGATGGACTCAGCACAAGTCCGCATGTACGTCTGTGTCTCTGTGTCTCTCTCACCGTGTCTCTGTGTCTGTGTCTCTGTGTCTGTGTCTATGTCTCTGTGTCTGTGTCTCTCTCACCGTGGACTTTGAGAGCGTGGATGGACTCGGCACAAGTCCGCATGTACGTCTGTGTGTCTGTGTCTCTCTCACCGTGTCTCTGTGTCTCTGTGTCTCTCTCACCGTGTCTCTGTGTCTGTGTCTCTGTGTCTTTGTCTATGTCTCTGTGTCTGTGTCTCTCTCACCGTGGACTTTGAGAGCGTGGATGGACTCAGCACAAGTCCGCATGTATGTCTGTGTGTCTGTGTCTCTCTCACCGTGTCTCTGTGTCTCTCTCACCGTGTCTCTGTGTCTGTGTCTCTGTGTCTGTGTCTATGTCTCTGTGTCTGTGTCTCTCTCACCGTGGACTTTGAGAGCGTGGATGGACTCGGCACAAGTCCGCATGTACGTCTGTGTGTCTTTGTCTCTCTCACCGTGTCTCTGTGTGTCTGTGTCTCTGTCTGTCTGTGTCTCTCTCCCCGTGTCTCTGTGTCTGTGTGTCTCTCCCCGTGTCTCTGTGTCTCTGTGTCTCTCTCACCGTGTCTCTGTGTCTGTGTCTCTCTCTGTGTGTCTGTGTCTCTGTGTCTCACCGTGGACTTTGAGAGCGTGGATGGACTCAGCACAAGTCCGCATGTACGTCTGTGTGTCTGTGTCTCTCTTACCGTGTCTCTGTGTCTGTCTCTGTGTCTCTCTCACCGTGTCTCTATGTCTCTGTGTCTCACCGTGGACTTTGAGAGCGTGGATGGACTCGGCACAAGTCCGCATGTACGTCTGTGTGTCTGTGTCTCTCTCACCGTGTCTCTGTGTCTCTGTGTCTCTCTCACCGTGTCTCTGTGTCTGTGTCTCTGTGTCTGTGTCTATGTCTCTGTGTCTGTGTCTCTCTCACCGTGGACTTTGAGAGCGTGGATGGACTCAGCACAAGTCCGCATGTACGTCTGTGTGTCTGTGTCTCTCTCCCCGTGTCTCTGTGTCTGTGTCTCTCTCACCGTGTCTCTGTGTCTCTGTGTCTCTGTCTGTCTGTGTGTCTGTGTCTCTCTCACCGTGGACTTTGAGAGCGTGGATGGACTCGGCATAAGTCCGCATGTACGTCTGTGTGTCTGTGTCTCTCTCCCCGTGTCTCTGTGTCTGTGTCTCTCTCACCGTGTCTCTGTGTCTCTATGTCTGTGTCTCTCTCACCGTGTCTCTGTGTCTCTCTCTGTGTCTCTGTGTCTCTCTCACCGTGGACTTTGAGAGCGTGGATGGACTCGGCACAAGTCCGCATGTACGTCTGTGTCTCTGTGTCTCTCTCACCGTGTCTCTGTGTCTCTGTGTCTCTGTGTCTGTGTCTATGTCTCTGTGTCTGTGTCTCTCTCCCCGTGTCTGTGTCTCTCTCCCCGTGTCTCTGTCTCTCTCCCCGTGTCTCTGTCTCTCTCACCGTGTCTCTGTCTCTGTGTGTCTCTGTGTCTCTCTCCCCGTGTCTCTGTGTGTCTCTCTCACCGTGGACTTTGAGAGCGTGGATGGACTCGGCACAAGTCCGCATGTACGTCTGTGTGTCTGTGTCTCTCTTACCGTGTCTCTGTGTCTGTGTCTCTGTGTCTGTGTCTCTCTCCCCGTGTCTCTGTGTCTCTCTCACCGTGGACTTTGAGAGCGTGGATGGACTCAGCACAAGTCCGCATGTACGTCTGTGTGTCTGTGTCTCTCTTACCGTGTCTCTGTGTCTGTGTCTCTGTGTCTGTGTCTCTCTCCCCGTGTCTCTGTGTCTCTCTCACCGTGGACTTTGAGAGCGTGGATGGACTCAGCACAAGTCCGCATGTACGTCTGTGTGTCTGTGTCTCTCTCCCCGTGTCTCTGTGTCTGTGTCTCTGTGTCTGTGTCTATGTCTCTGTGTCTGTGTCTCTCTCACCGTGGACTTTGAGAGCGTGGATGGACTCGGCACAAGTCCGCATGTACGTTTGTGTGTCTGTGTCTCTCTCACCGTGTCTCTGTGTCTGTGTCTCTGTGTCTGTGTCTCTCTCACCGTGTCTCTGTGTCTCACCGTGTCTCTGTGTCTCTCTCACCGTGGACTTTGAGAGCGTGGATGGACTCAGCACAAGTCCGCATGTACGTCTGTGTCTCTGTGTCTCTCTCACCGTGTCTCTGTGTCTGTGTCTCTGTGTCTGTGTCTATGTCTCTGTGTCTGTGTCTCTCTCACCGTGGACTTTGAGAGCGTGGATGGACTCAGCACAAGTCCGCATGTACGTCTGTGTGTCTGTGTCTCTCTCACCGTGTCTCTGTGTCTGTGTCTCTGTGTCTGTGTCTCTCTCACCGTGTCTCTGTGTCTCACCGTGTCTCTGTGTCTCTCTCACCGTGGACTTTGAGAGCGTGGATGGACTCAGCACAAGTCCGCATGTACGTCTGTGTGTCTGTGTCTCTCTCACCGTGTCTCTGTGTCTGTGTCTCTGTGTCTGTGTCTCTCTCACCGTGTCTCTGTGTCTCACCGTGTCTCTGTGTCTCTCTCACCGTGGACTTTGAGAGCGTGGATGGACTCAGCACAAGTCCGCATGTACGTCTGTGTGTCTGTGTCTCTCTCCCCGTGTCTCTGTGTCTGTGTCTCTGTGTCTGTGTCTATGTCTCTGTGTCTGTGTCTCTCTCACCGTGGACTTTGAGAGCGTGGATGGACTCGGCACAAGTCCGCATGTACGTCTGTGTGTCTGTGTCTCTCTCACCGTGTCTCTGTGTCTGTGTCTCTGTGTCTGTGTCTCTCTCACCGTGTCTCTGTGTCTCACCGTGTCTCTGTGTCTCTCTCACCGTGGACTTTGAGAGCGTGGATGGACTCAGCACAAGTCCGCATGTACGTCTGTGTGTCTGTGTCTCTCTCACCGTGTCTCTGTGTCTGTGTCTCTGTGTCTGTGTCTCTCTCACCGTGTCTCTGTGTCTCACCGTGTCTCTGTGTCTCTCTCACCGTGGACTTTGAGAGCGTGGATGGACTCAGCACAAGTCCGCATGTACGTCTGTGTGTCTGTGTCTCTCTCCCCGTGTCTCTGTGTCTGTGTCTCTGTGTCTGTGTCTATGTCTCTGTGTCTGTGTCTCTCTCACCGTGGACTTTGAGAGCGTGGATGGACTCAGCACAAGTCCGCATGTACGTCTGTGTGTCTGTGTCTCTCTCACCGTGTCTCTGTGTCTGTGTCTCTGTGTCTGTGTCTCTCTCACCGTGTCTCTGTGTCTCACCGTGTCTCTGTGTCTCTCTCACCGTGGACTTTGAGAGCGTGGATGGACTCAGCACAAGTCCGCATGTACGTCTGTGTCTCTGTGTCTCTCTCACCGTGTCTCTGTGTCTGTGTCTCTGTGTCTGTGTCTATGTCTCTGTGTCTGTGTCTCTCTCACCGTGGACTTTGAGAGCGTGGATGGACTCAGCACAAGTCCGCATGTACGTCTGTGTGTCTGTGTCTCTCTCCCCTTGTCTCTGTGTCTGTGTCTCTGTGTCTGTGTCTATGTCTCTGTGTCTGTGTCTCTCTCACCGTGGACTTTGAGAGCGTGGATGGACTCAGGCACAAGTCCGCATGTACGTCTGTGTGTCTGTGTCTCTCTCACCGTGTCTCTGTGTCTGTGTCTCTGTGTCTGTGTCTCTCTCACCGTGTCTCTGTGTCTCACCGTGTCTCTGTGTCTCTCTCACCGTGGACTTTGAGAGCGTGGATGGACTCAGCACAAGTCCGCATGTACGTCTGTGTGTCTGTGTCTCTCTCACCGTGTCTCTGTGTCTGTGTCTCTGTGTCTGTGTCTCTCTCACCGTGTCTCTGTGTCTCACCGTGTCTCTGTGTCTCTCTCACCGTGGACTTTGAGAGCGTGGATGGACTCAGCACAAGTCCGCATGTACGTCTGTGTGTCTGTGTCTCTCTCCCCGTGTCTCTGTGTCTGTGTCTCTGTGTCTGTGTCTATGTCTCTGTGTCTGTGTCTCTCTCACCGTGGACTTTGAGAGCGTGGATGGACTCAGCACAAGTCCGCATGTACGTCTGTGTCTCTGTGTCTCTCTCACCGTGTCTCTGTGTCTGTGTCTCTGTGTCTGTGTCTATGTCTCTGTGTCTGTGTCTCTCTCACCGTGGACTTTGAGAGCGTGGATGGACTCAGCACAAGTCCGCATGTACGTCTGTGTGTCTGTGTCTCTCTCCCCGTGTCTCTGTGTCTGTGTCTCTGTGTCTGTGTCTATGTCTCTGTGTCTGTGTCTCTCTCACCGTGGACTTTGAGAGCGTGGATGGACTCAGCACAAGTCCGCATGTACGTCTGTGTGTCTGTGTCTCTCTCACCGTGTCTCTGTGTCTGTGTCTCTGTGTCTGTGTCTCTCTCACCGTGTCTCTGTGTCTCACCGTGTCTCTGTGTCTCTCTCACCGTGGACTTTGAGAGCGTGGATGGACTCAGCACAAGTCCGCATGTACGTCTGTGTGTCTGTGTCTCTCTCACCGTGGTCTCTGTGTCTGTGTCTCTGTGTCTGTGTCTCTCTCACCGTGTCTCTGTGTCTCACCGTGTCTCTGTGTCTCTCTCACCGTGGACTTTGAGAGCGTGGATGGACTCAGCACAAGTCCGCATGTACGTCTGTGTCTCTGTGTCTCTCTCACCGTGTCTCTGTGTCTGTGTCTCTGTGTCTGTGTCTATGTCTCTGTGTCTGTGTCTCTCTCACCGTGGACTTTGAGAGCGTGGATGGACTCAGCACAAGTCCGCATGTACGTCTGTGTGTCTGTGTCTCTCTCCCCGTGTCTCTGTGTCTGTGTCTCTGTGTCTGTGTCTATGTCTCTGTGTCTGTGTCTCTCTCACCGTGGACTTTGAGAGCGTGGATGGACTCAGCACAAGTCCGCATGTACGTCTGTGTGTCTGTGTCTCTCTCACCGTGTCTCTGTGTCTGTGTCTCTGTGTCTGTGTCTCTCTCACCGTGTCTCTGTGTCTCACCGTGTCTCTGTGTCTCTCTCACCGTGGACTTTGAGAGCGTGGATGGACTCAGCACAAGTCCGCATGTACGTCTGTGTGTCTGTGTCTCTCTCACCGTGTCTCTGTGTCTGTGTCTCTGTGTCTGTGTCTCTCTCACCGTGTCTCTGTGTCTCACCGTGTCTCTGTGTCTCTCTCACCGTGGACTTTGAGAGCGTGGATGGACTCAGCACAAGTCCGCATGTACGTCTGTGTGTCTGTGTCTCTGTGTCTCTGTGTCTCTCTCACCGTGTCTCTGTGTCTGTGTCTCTCTCACCGTGGACTTTGAGAGCGTGGATGGACTCAGCACAAGTCCGCATGTACGTTTGTGTGTCTGTGTCTCTCTCCCCGTGTCTCTGTGTCTGTGTCTCTGTGTCTGTGTCTATGTCTCTGTGTCTGTGTCTCTCTCACCGTGGACTTTGAGAGCGTGGATGGACTCAGCACAAGTCCGCATGTACGTCTGTGTGTCTGTGTCTCTCTCACCGTGTCTCTGCGTCTGTGTCTCTCTCCCCGTGTCTCACCGTGGACTTTGAGAGCGTGGATGGACTCAGCACAAGTCCGCATGTACGTTTGTGCATCCCTGTCGATGTTGTCGCGGTCGGCATCCGTCATGGAGTCCGGCTTGCCATCGGTCACCAAGCTGCATCATCATCATCATCAGCAGCATCATCATCATCAGCATCAGCACCATCATCAGCAGCAGCATCATCAGCATCATCATCATCATCATCAGCAGCAGCATCAGCATCATCATCAGCAGCAGCATCAGCAGCAGCATCAGCAGCACCATCATCATCATCATCAGCATCATCATCATCAGCAGCAGCATCATCATCATCAGCATCATCAGCAGCATCATCAGCATCATCATCATCATCAGCAGCAGCATCATCAGCAGCATCATCATCATCAGCAGCAGCATCAGCAGCATCAGCAGCATCAGCATCAGCAACAGCATCAGCAGCATCATCATCAGCATCATCATCATCAGCATCATCATCAGCAGCATCAGCAGCAGCATCAGCAGAAGCAGCAGCATCATCAGCAGAAGCAGCAGCATCATCATCAGCAGCATCATCAGCAGCATCAGTAGCACCATCATCAGCAGCACCATCATCATCAGCATCATCAGCAGCAGCATCAGCATCATCATGAGCATCATCATGAGCATCATCATCAGCAGCAGGATCATCATCACTACCACCATCACCACCACCATAATCACCAAAACCACTACCACCATCATCATCATCACCACTACACCATCACCACCACCATCATCATCAAGACCGTTATCACCACCGTCACCACCACCGTCACCACCATCATCATCACCACCATCACCACCACCACCACCATCATCACCACCACCATCACCACCATCACCACCGTCACCACCATCACCACCACCATCACCACCATCACCGTCACCACCACCGTCACCACCACCGTCACCACCACCGTCACCACCACCGTCACCACCGTCACCACCACCGTCACCACCACCATCACCACCATCACCACCATCACCACCATCACCACCACCACCATCACCTCCATCACCACCACCATCACCACCACCACCTCCATCACCTCCATCACCACCGTCACCACCACCATCACCACCACCACCTCCATCACCACCATCACCACCACCATCACCACCGTCACCACCACCACCATCACCACCACCACCACCACCATCACCACCATCACCACCCCGTCACCACCACCGTCACCACCATCACCACCACCGTCACCACCACCATCACCACCACCATCACCACCGTCACCACCACCGTCACCACCACCGTCACCACCACCACCGTCACCACCGTCACCACCATCACCACCATCACCACCATCACCACCATCACCACCACCACCATCACCACCATCACCACCACCATCACCACCATCACCACCATCACCATCACCACCATCACCACCATCACCATCACCACCATCACCACCATCACCACCATCATCATCACCACCATCACCACCACCACCACCATCATCACCATCACCATCACCACCATCACCACCGTCACCACCATCACCACCACCATCACCACCATCACCGTCACCACCACCGTCACCACCACCGTCACCACCACCGTCACCACCACCGTCACCACCACCGTCACCACCGTCACCACCACCGTCACCACCACCATCACCACCATCACCACCATCACCACCACCACCATCACCTCCATCACCACCACCATCACCACCACCACCTCCATCACCTCCATCACCACCGTCACCACCACCATCACCACCACCACCTCCATCACCACCATCACCACCACCATCACCACCGTCACCACCACCACCATCACCACCACCACCACCATCACCACCATCACCACCCCGTCACCACCACCGTCACCACCATCACCACCACCGTCACCACCACCATCACCACCACCATCACCACCGTCACCACCACCGTCACCACCACCGTCACCACCACCACCATCACCACCGTCACCACCATCACCACCATCACCACCATCACCACCACCACCATCACCACCATCACCACCACCATCACCACCATCACCACCATCACCATCACCACCATCACCACCATCACCACCACCACCATCACCACCATCACCACCATCACCACCACCATCACCACCATCACCACCATCACCATCACCACCACCATCACCACCACCGCCACCATCACCACCGTCACCACCACCATCACCACCATCACCACCACCGTCACCACCACCGTCACCACCACCGTCACCACCACCGTCACCACCACCATCACCATCACCACCATCACCACCACCACCACCATCACCACCATCACCACCACCACCACCTCCATCACCACCACCATCACCACCACCACCACCACCTCCATCACCACCATCACCACCACCATCACCACCGTCACCACCGTCACCACCATCACCACCACCACCACCACCGTCACCACCATCACCACCCCGTCACCACCACCGTCACCACCACCATCACCACCATCACCACCACCACCACCACCTCCATCACCACCATCACCACCACCACCACCACCGTCACCACCATCACCACCCCGTCACCACCACCGTCACCACCATCACCACCACCGTCACCACCACCATCACCACCGTCACCACCACCGTCACCACCACCGTCACCACCACCATCACCACCGTCACCACCACCACCGTCACCACCATCACCACCACCGTCACCACCACCACCACCTCCATCACCACCATCATCACCACCACCATCACCATCACCACCATCACCACCATCACCACCACCATCACCACCATCACCACCACCACCACCATCACCACCATCACCACCATCACCTGTTAGCGCTGAGATACGCCTTGCGATGTTGCATCAGGAAGTCTCGAAGCTTGGTAATGTTCCCAGCCTGCAACCATCACCAACATCACCAACATCACCAACATCACCAACATCAACATCACTAACATCACCATCACCAACATCAACACCATCACTAACATCACCAACATCAACATCACCATCAACATCATCACTAACATCACCATCACCAACATCACCAACACCACCATCACCAACATCACCAACACCACCATCACCATCACCAACATCACCAACACCACCATCACCATCACCAACATCACCATCACCATCACCAACATCACCAACATCACCATCAACACCATCAACACCATCACCAACATCATCAACACCATCACCAACATCACCATCACCATCAACACCACCACCATCAACACCAACATCACCACCACCATCACCAACATCACCATCAACACCACCATCACCAACATCACCAACATCACCATCACCATCAACACCACCACCATCAACACCAACACCACCATCACCATCACCAACATCACCATCAACACCATCACCAACATCACCACCACCATCACCAACATCACCATCACCACCATCACCAATATCACCATCAACACCATCACCAACATCACCAACACCATCACCATCAACACCACCACCATCAACACCAACATCACCACCACCATCACCAACATCACCATCAACACCACCACCATCAACACCATCACCAACATCACCACCACCATCACTAACATCACCACCAACACCAACATGACCACCACCATCACCAACATCACCATCAACACCAACATCACCACCACCACCAACAACAACACCACCACCATCACCAACATCACCATCAACACCATCACCAACATCACCATCAACACCACCACCAACAACATCAACACCATCACCAACATCACCATCAACACCATCACCACCATCACCAACATCACCATCAACACCATCACCAATATCACCATCAACACCATCACCATCATCAGTAAGTGGTAGTGAGTGTTAGTCAGTGGGTAGGTTAGGGAGTGGTTAGGTAAATTAGTGGGTGGGTGGGTAGGTGGGTGGGTAGGTGGGTGAGTGAGTAGATGAATGCGTGGGTAGATGAGTGAGTGGGTAGATGAGTGAGTGGGTAGGTGAGTGAGTGGGTAGGCGAGTGAGTGGTTAGGCAAGTTAATTGGTAGGCGAGTTCATGGGTAGGTGAGTTAATGGGTAGGTGAGTGGGGAGGTGAATGAGTGGGTAGGAGGGAGGGTGAGTGAGTGAGTGGTTAGGTGAGTGGTTAGCTAAGTGGGTGGGTAGGTGAGTGAGTGGGTGAAGGAGTGGGTGGGTGAATGAGTGGGTGGGTGAGTGTGTCAGTGATTATGTTAATAAGTGTGCCAGGGAGTGTACCAATGAGTGTCAGTGATTATGTGAGTGTCAGTGAGTGTGTGTCAGTGATTATGTGAGTGTGTCAGTGATTATGTGAGTGTGTCAGTGATTATGTGAGTGAGTGTGTCAGTGATTATGTGAGTGAGTGTGTCAGCGATTATGTGAGTGAGTGTGTCAGTGATTATGTGAGTGAGTGTCAGTGATTATGTGAGTGAGTGCGTCAGTGATTATGTGAGTGAGTGAGCCAGCCACTCACCACCACTCACCCCCTCATCAACTCACCACCACTCACCACTTACACCACCACCCTCACCACTCACCACCACCCTCACCACCACCCTCACCACTACCCTCACCACCCTCACCACCACCCTCACCACCACCATCACCACTCACCACCACCACTCACCACCACCATCACCACTCACCACGACCATCACCACTCACCATCACCACTCACCACCACCATCACCACTTACCACCACCCTCACCACTCACCACCACCATCACCACTCACCATCACCACTCACCACCACCCTCACCACTCACCACCACCCTCACCACTACCCTCACCACCCTCACCACCACCCTCACCACCACCCTCACCACTCACCACCACCATCACCACTCACCACCACCATCACCACTCACCACCACCATCACCACTCACCACCACCATCACCACTCACCACCACCATCACCACTCACCACCACCATCACCACTCACCACCACCCTCACCACTCACCACCACCCTCACCACTCACCACCACCCTCACCACTCACCACCACCCTCACCACTCACCACCACCCTCACCACTCACCATCACCACTCACCACCACCCTCACCACCACCCTCACCAATCACCACCACCATCATCCATCACCACCACCATCACCACTCACCACCACCATCACCACTCACCACCACCCTCACCACTCACCACCACCCTCACCACTCACCATCACCACTCACCACCACCATCACCACCACCACTCTCACCACCACCACCTTCACCACCACCCTCACCACTCACCACTCACCACCACCCTCACCAATCACCACCACCACTCACCATCACCACTCACCACCACCATCACTACTCACCACCACCCTCACCACTCACCACCACCCTCACCACCACCATCACCACCACCCTCACCACTCACCACTCACCACCACCCTCACCAATCACCCTTAACACTCACCACCCTCACCACTCACCACCCTCACCACCCTCACCACTCACCACCACTCACCACACTCACCACAACACTCACCACAACCCTCACCACTCACCCTCAACACTCACCACCCTCAACACTCACCCTCACCACTCACCACAACACTCACCACAACACTCAACACTCACACTCACCACAACACTCACCACCACTCACCACAACACTCACCACTCACCACCACTCACCACAACACTCACCACAACACTCACCACAACACTCACCACCACCCTCACCACAACACTTACCACAACACTCACCTTCACCACTCACCACAACACTCACCACAACCCTCACCACTCACCACACTCACCACCACCCTCACCACTCACCACACTCACCACCACTCACCACCACCCTCACCACAACACTCACCACCCTCACCACTCACCACGTCTCTCGCCCTGACAGCGAAGTCTCCGCGCGGCCTACCCCGCGCGAGGAGTGAAGCCTCCCCCTTTGCCTGAGCCGCCGCCGCCGCCGCCGCCGCCTCCTCAGGAGGCCCCCCGGCGGGCTCCGCGTGGGCGAGCAGGGCCCGCTCGCGAGAGCGAATCGCCTTGACGGAGGCGCGGAACGCCGCGGTGAGGTTGGTAGCCATCGCGAGAGAGAAAGAGGAGAGAGAGGAGAGAGAGAGATGAGAGAGAGATAATAGAACTTCAAGACGCCTTCATCATCGTCATCATCGTCGTTGATATATCGTAATAAATTATGTTAATGATGAAGGTGGGGCGGAGAAAGCCGCTAAAGGCACCCATTGGCCGGAGAAAACATTAGCATAATTTATGCGCAAAGCGTTTGTTTGTTCATTAACATACTTAATGCCGTCGTACATTAACATGATTTATGCGATGGGTAGTCGTCGTTGATTGGTCACTCCTGCCCCCCGCCCCCCCACCCTTCTATTAGCCACGTGAACTGCCTCGTTGGGAATAAATTATGTTCATGACAAAGCCGCATAAGGTACCCTTTTGCATTGGTTCATGGTGTGATTAACATAATTTATGCGAGCGTCTCCGTTGTTGATTGGTCGGTGTTTCCCCCCCCCCCCTCTATGCAGACCTGCCGTGTTGGAAATATATTATGTTAATGAGAGCATCCTCCGGGGTTAATGCCGACTTGAAGATACTTGATTAACATAATTTATGCGAACGTATCCGTTATTGATCAGCGTTTAACTGACGTGTCGGAAGTAAATTAGGTCGCGCTGGAAATAAATTATGCTAATTAGGGCAAAGGGACGTACGCCATTGGTTGATTCTGAGCTGAAAATATTCGATTAACGCGGGGTTTGCAGGAGCATGGCTGCAGGTTTTTGTCGTGTTAATTATATCGTTTATTGTTAAATTAAAAATTACAGTTCCTATGATTACTGTTGTTACATTGTTTTTTAATAGCTTTATTTTGGTGATTAAAAAAACATATGGTTAATCTAAATTGTCTTATAGTTTTGATTTAAAGCTTTCGTGACTGCAGTAATTCATATTCAAGTCACGTTGAAGAGAAACAACAAAATAAAAAAATATATTATTGTTTTATATATATTTTATTATTTTGTTGTTTCTCTTCAACGTGACTTTACCGAAAAAACTAAGAATATGTCTTATAGTTGTTGTTGTTGTTGGCTTGCACCACATTGTGATTTTTGCACAGAGTTTTAATACGGTTTTTTTGTGTGTGTGTGTGGAATATTTCCTGGTTTATTATGTTGGGCGTCGTCGCTTTAAGATGTTCTGTATTCATATTTTGTTTGTTGCGGTTGCACCCGACTTAAGAGCCGCATGGCTCACCAGGGCTATACCTAAATAAATTAAACTTGAAACTTGAAGCACGTGACTTCGATCCCAGACCCTGACGATGCCTGCTGCTGCTGCTGTATATGTGGAGTCTGCGTCTCTCTCTCTCTGGTTAAGATGTTGACTACCTCGCCTGGTATACAGGAGGTCGTGGCTTCGATTCCAGATCCTGACGATGCCTGCTGCTGCTGCTGTATATGTGGAGTCTGCGTCTCTCTCTGTGACTAAGAGATGTTGACTACCTCGCCTGGTGTACGGGAGGTCGTGGGTTCCATCCCAAGCCTGGTGCCTGCTGTATATGTGGAGTCTGCGTCTCTCTCTCTGTCGCTAAGAGATGTTGACTACCTCGCCTGGTCTACAGGAGTTCGTGGGTTCCATCCCAACCCTGGTGCCTGCTGTGTATGTGCAGTCTGCGTCTCTGTGACTAAAAGATGTTGACTACCTCGCCTGGTGTACGGGAAGTCGTGGGTTTTATCCGTGGCCCTGACGATGCCTGCTGCTGCTGCTGCTGTATGTGTGGAGTCTGCGTCTCTCTCTCTGTGGCTGAGATGTTGACTACCTCACCTGGTCTACAGGAGGTCGTGGGTTCGATCCCAGACCCTCACGATGCCTGCTGCTGCTGCTGTATAACAGATGGCACCTCAGCCAGCCACTCACAGGGGGTGACTTCTTCTTACAATATTTGAGGCACTGCAGCCTCAGCAGGGTCAGCCACACTTTGCCCCATGATGTTTTCCAGGCTGTCCTGGGTGTACACCCACCACCGGAGTGGAAGAATGGCAGGGGCATCTAAGTCGATGGTCAATAAGCAGATCAGCTCCATGGTAGGTTCTGGTGTCAAGGTCATGGGCCCGCATCCGCTGTTCCGTCACCATGTAGTCCAGCAGATGTTCTTACTTGGACCCGGCGTGCATCCATGATGTTGTGTGGATGCGCCGATGCTGGAACAGCGTGTTGGTAATTACCAGCCCATAGGCTGCACAAAAGTCTAGCAGCCTCCTACCGCTGTTATTGAGCTGATCTGGCCCGTGCCTTCCACTTACTGCAGACCAGGTGACAGTATCATGACCAACTCGTTCATTGAAGTCACCTAACAAGATGACTCTATCCCGAGGGGCCACTTTAGCTACCACCTGTGACAGGTCAGTGAAGGCATCTGACTCATCGGCCTTACCTGCATCCCTCCACAGATGTTCATCTTCGGTGGGGGCATAAGTAACCACGACCACCATTCCTCGCCTCTGGTTGATGTGAAGGCGAGCCCAAAGTAGCCTGGGGCTTACAGCTTCCCATACCTCACCGCCACGCTCCCACGCCCCCTTCATTCTTTTGTTCAAAAGAAGAGTCACACCCTGTTGTTTGGCAGTCTGCTGCCCCGAGTAGAGGACTGTCCACCCCTCATGGTGGCAGGAGCCAGAACCGGTCCACCGGACCTCCCGAATACCACAGAGATCCAGGCGGAACCGATCCAGCTCCCGACAGAGGAGTGGCAGCCTCTCCTCCGCGGCGAGCGTTCGAACATTCCACGTGGCCACCCGTAGTGGCTTTTCGTTGTTTCTGGAGGAGCCCCGAGGGTAGAGATTCAATCTCCTGGCTCCGCCAATTGGGGTCTGGCCAGGAGACGTCACAGACGCCTGCCACCCCCCCCCCCCCCCCCCCGGGGCCTCCGGCACAAGCTTATTAGTTAGATATCTTAGACGTGGTTTAGTGGTAATTTATTGAAGGTGGAGGGGTCACCAGCCCCTCGCACCCGTCCAGAGCCCCCATCTGGCCGCTATGGTGGTCACAGACGCCATGAGGGGAGTGGCCAATCGGAATTGGCCCTCCCCCCATGGCACTGCCCACCACAGCGTTGCCATCTGGCACCAACGAATAGGTAGAGGGTTGTTTTGCCAGACTCCACCACCACCGCTACCACTACCATCACCACCCCTACCACAACCGCCACCACCAACCACTACTACCACCACCACCCCCACCACTAACACTACCACCACCGCTACCACCAACCACTCCCACCCAATCTCGATTTGAATCTTACGTGACTTGCAGCAATCCACACTCTGGTTCTTTCGGTAAAGCTCATCGCGTAGTAGGTAGAAAAATAACACGCGACGTTTCGGTGGCAACACCAGCGTCCCCGTCATCGGTTGAGAGAGAATTATCTGCTGTTGTGGCTTTATATAGGCGCGGGAGGGAGAGGGGGGAGGTTGTAGAGTCGTGGCTGCAGGAATTCACCATCACTACCACCAACACAACCACCGCCTTCTATTCTAGATTTAAAGCTTTCGTGACTGCAAGGATCCATACTCTTCGGCTCTATTCGGTAAAGTCACCACGTAGTAGGTAAAAAAAACAAAACAACAAAACTCACGACGTTTCGGCCACAACACAAGCGGCCTTCATCAGGTGAAGGGACCAGGCCGTCTCGAGGACAGCGCTGGAGTGAAACACAGCCAACGCTCAGACCGCGACCTTTAAAGGACCTTTAAAGACCGTGGCTGTGTTTCACTCCAGCGCTGTCCTCGAGACAGCCTGATCACAACCACCACCACCACCAACCACTACTCCAGAGGGGATCGGGGGGGGGGTGTGCGGGACGAGCCAATCAGAGCCGGGCGCCACGTTTATTCGGGATTTAAAACGCGAACCGTGGAACAGGGGGGGAGGAGGGGAGGAGGGGAGACAGAGGCAGCTCCCCGCTTGCCGCCGGCGCCCAAAGGTACAAAATCGAACGTCTCGCAAAAAACATCGACAAGGCCCTCGACTTCGTCAAGTCAAGGGGCGAAATGTCCCCCAGGTAGCCTCCAGCAGGGCCGTAGGGGGGGCAAGTGCCGTGGTTAGCAGTCACGGGTAGACACGGACAAATGTCCCCCAGGTAGCCTCCAACAGGGCCGTAGGGGGGGCAAGTGCCGTGGTTAGCAGTCACAAGTAGACACGGACAAATGTCCCCCAGGTAGCCTCCAACAGGGCTGTTGGGGCAAGTGCCGTGTTGAGTGGTCACGGGTTGACACGGACAAATGTCCCCCAGGTAGCCTCCAACAGGGCTGTTGGGGCAAGTGCCGTGTTGAGTGGTCACGGGTAGACACGGACAAATGTCCCCCAGGTAGCCTCCAACAGGGCCGTAGGGGGGGCAAGTGCCGTGTTGAGCGGTCACGGGTAGACACGGACAAATGTCCCCCAGGTAGCCTCCAACAGGGCCGTTGGGGCAAGTGCCGTGGTTAGCAGTCACAAGTAGACACGGACAAATGTCCCCCAGGTAGCCTCAAACAGGGCCGTTGGGGCAAGTGCCGTGGTTAGCAGTCACAAGTAGACATGGACAAATGTCCCCCAGGTAGCCTCCAACAGGTGCCGTAGGGGCAAGTGCCGTGGTTAGTGGTCACGGGTAGACACGGACAAATGTCCCCCAGGTAGCCTCCAACAGGGCCGTAGCGGGGGGGCAAGTGCTCTTCGGAGTAGCAGCAGCAGCTGCAGCGTCTATGAAGGCTACCGGCCACTGTGGCTACACACGGGGGGAGGGTGGGGTGGGTGGCCGGCACCACCACGCCCGGCCGCCTTTGTCTCCCCCAGTGCTAGCGATGTTTACTACCACACACACACAACATACATACAACACACACACACACAACACTGCACCAGGTACTCATTTGAGGCCCAGTCGACCTAGGGGAGGGCCCAGCACCGGTCGTTGAAATCGCTACCGACGGCGTTGGTGGTGGCTGCGAGCGGGAATTCAACTCGCGCCTCTGCCTGGTCCATAGGGCTCACCACGGTGAGGTGAGTGTGAGGTGAGCGTGAGGTGAGCGTGAGGTGAGCGTGAGGTGAGCGTGAGGTGAGCGTGAGGTGAGCGTGAGGTGAGCGTGAGGTGAGCGTGAGGTGAGCGTGAGGTGAGCGTGAGGTCAGCGAGCCAC